GCTCGTTGGTTGTTTCATTCTTCACCCAGAGACATCCAGAAGTTAAAAGTAGCAAAACTGAAAGAAAAGATGGCCTAATTGAAGGGAGAAAATCAACGAATCGATGGGACTTCGAAGAGTTAACGGACGCCATTTTTTCAATGTAACTTCACGATCGTTTCAGGCTGAGCGGGGCGAAAGTCAGTGGAACGTTGCCAGAATAATTTGATCCTGTAAATTCCAGCCCAGATATACGGGGGTATAAATTACTTGGATATCTTTGTTACACAAGGAACAAAGAAGCCTTTTACAATCCCTCAATTCAAGGATTTCATGAAGTCCTAGTGTCATATCGCGGATGCACATGGAATTATTCTGCCGGTTACTTTTTCACAATCCTCCTCTTTGGGTTATTTTTGATTGTCGACAAAGGAAAACAAACTTTTCTTATTCGTCCTTCATAACCATTTGTAACTTACGCGCTTAGTATCAGGGTCACCCAGCGATCGCAACTTGTTTCTGTAAAGTATATAACTGTTCGAAGAAATTTCAAAAGCTTGAGTGAGAAAAGCTAAAAATTCTGGATAACCGTTCCGACTTGCCTTAAATGTTGGGAGGTTTTTCTAACAGCTTAACTACGATTTTCGGAGGTTGTATTATTTACATTTTGATACCAAAGTATTGCGATTATTGTCAATGAAAAAAGGTCTACTAAAAACTTCGGTATAAAGACAAAACGTCCCCAATAATTTTCTAATGAAAGCAAGTCTACTTCATGTCCCCAAACCTTTTACCGGATCCATCAGGTAGCTAACTCTTTCGGATGAGACGAAACAGCCACCAAAACTTTAGTGACAACTAAAGTTCCCCTTAGACATCAGAACAGATAAACAGTTTTTAGAGCAACTCCAAATTAACTAAACAGGCTTCTAAAGTTACGAGAAAACCATTTGACCATTTGGAAACATTCGGTCGTGTGCCCCGGTAGTATAACAAATGGCCGTTATGCATATTTAAGCAGACAAGCAAATTTAAAGTTTGCGACGGTTTACATAAATAAAAGGGTTGAAAAGATCAATACCCATGCACAGTCAATGGAAAGATTATATCGCTTACAAACGAGGCTTCGTGGTATAATTTGTGTAAGGACCGTTGGCTGTTACCAGGATGATGACTCTTGGAAAATGTAGATGGTTTTAGAGCGGGACGCTTTTCAGACCAAAATAATTCATTTTACTGCCAGAACCAATTCCCTACTTCAGAAACTCTAGGGGAGTGGGGGGGGGAGGGGAGCTATTTTTCGGCGGGTGAAACAAAAACCAAAAAAAGAGTTCCGCAGGCTACTGGAATGGGGACGGGGAATACACAAATCAAGATTGGTTAACTAATGTTTTCATAAAGAATGTTTTACAAGAAACTGACGCTGAACTAACGTCAGTGTAACGCTCAATTAATTCAGACACAGATAAGGCAGCCGATCACAGTGATTTAATTTTAACAAAACTGTAATAGTTAATTCACAAGAGGACAAAGAATGTGACTGTTTGGTATAACAGAAACGTTACAAAGTGAGAATCAAAACAAGAACCTAGAAAATACTATTATAGTATAAATAGTTTCACCACATTCTGGTAAAAGTCAACCTTGCGTCGAAATGATTGTGTTGTCACACTTCCGACAATTTAGAAACAAGAAAGGCACTGGTGCCAAAATTGTCCCGCAATTGTTTCTGGGATCGTTACTGGTGACGCACGGGGCAATTATTAGGGAGCTTTGGTAAAGGCGTTTTTGAGAGACGCACGTCAACCGGAAGTGACGACTTTTCCCTTTAAATATACCTGGACGCTATAAAATGTGTTCTTTTTAGTTTCTTTACACTTGTGAAGAAGATTTAACTGAAAATTTGGGAAAAAAACACTGCTCAGTAAAAAGTCCACTTCCGGTTGACGTGCATAGCTAAAAAACGCCTTTGCTTCCCAAGCAACAGTTCCAGAAGTCTTTGCGAAAGTTAACTCGACCCAGTTTCCTTCTTGTTTCTAAAGTGTCGTTGTCACAGTGGCATCCCCGCGTTTTGGCCATCCCCATTCCCAAAACCCTAGTGATATGCGCATCCCTTGTAACCCTAACCCAAATCGCTAAGGTAATATGAGAAGGGGATGCCCATATCACTAGGATTTTGGGAATGAAGATGCCCATATCATTGTGACACCGGATTTCTGCCACAGAAATGAAAGCGTGACTTAAACGGAGAACAACCATGAACCGTTACTGTTTTTTTTTTTTTAATACTAACCAAGAGCCATAACTGATATTAAAGAGCTGTACTCCTCAAAATAATCTCCTGCGACTTTTCATTTATCTATTTGGTTCAGACCTAAAATCTTCCCCTTTCTCGCTGGAATTATCTAACACATATTAACAACTTATGCACTGAGTTGTTACAGTCTTAATATCATAGGTGACGAATTACTCCTTAATTTTGGCGCGAAATTTAAGCGTTAATTTGTAATTTCACATGTGAAATTACAAAATTGCCATGGCAACCCTTCCGTACGTCTTAGTATCAAGATGGCGACGAAGTTTTAAAATGCCGTGAATTAAGATGTCAGGGCACAAAAAGACTCTTTAGAAAACCTGAGGACACAAGAGAACATCAAGATGGATTTTCCCGAAAAAGTCTAAACATTATTAGCCAAATTTAAGGTCTAAACATTTGAGAGAGTGGAGTTCTTGATCGATGCGATCCAGGATAAACATGTCAAAAATCCAAGATTGCTAACGTAATTCGTCACCCATGATATTAATAGGTAATCAAATGGTATACTCGTGAAATTAGGGAATTATTTCACTTGCGTTTTGTCCAAATAGGGATTTGGACAAAACGCGCGTGAAATTATCCCCTAATTTCACTCGTCACCATTTGATTACACATACTAACAACACGATTAAGAATACATGTACTCCAAATTTCTTGCAATTATTTGGATTCAAATGTAGAAAGCACAATTTTTTTTTTCTTTTAACTACTTTTACTGTTTAATTTTGAAAACAAATTAACAAAAAAAATCTACACGCCCATCGCCTAACTTTCTGACTGGGATTTGACTGCAGCGTTAATCAAACAGCCAATTAACTAAACAAATGAACACGCGTTAAGTGTAGTTTCGGCGCTAGTTAGTGTTGTTTAAATTGCACACCCACCCGACCCTTCCACTGAGTCGACAGTCAATAGTCAAGCGTACATATACTGAAAACCGCTGAATTTCTATCTCTCCCTGCTATGACGAAGTATACCTCTTATTATAGCCGAGTATGAGGTCTGTCAGTGGTCTGTACTGTAAACTACTGACTGAGTTTTTCATTTCCATCGATTAATGCTTGAACGGATCGAAAAAGCAAAGCTAATAAGCTGTTTATTTTATGGCTTCCTATTTAGGGGACCGGAAAAGCGGTTTGACAGTCATTTGATAGGCTAATGGCTTTTAACCAATTGCAATGCGCCATTTTGGAAAAGTTTACTGTCAAACCTAAGAGCATTGTTAGTTTTAGCTCGCTAAAGGACTGACCATTAGAAAACTTATCGGAGATTGTCAGCGAAGTACGAAACAAAATATTCGCGCAAGGGAAAATTAAATGAAAAAAATTCATGCACGCCAATTAATCCTAAAAGATATTCATTCTATGGCCTAAAAAAAATTGATACAAGGAATTTGATAACAAAAAAAAAATTCCTGCCGTTCGAAAAAAAAAATGCACTTTTATTTGAGTGTCAATGTATTTAGCACGAAAGTACTAATTGGGGACACTATATTTTTACGTCTCCAACTGGAGACGGGACCGCCATTTTACGTGGTCATCCGAGCCACGCGAAGGTCTAGCCTGTTGCAGTGCAAAGGGAGTACCCTCATTTCTCGGTTATTTTAAGACCCTGAGTATTGGTCCGGCCCCAGGAATCGAACCCGCGACCTCCCGCTCTGCTGTCAACACGCTCTACCCACTGAGCTAACACTGCCGCCGTTAAAAAAATTACCCTCCCCCTCCTCATAACTTTTCTAATGGCCCGTCCCTAGTGTGACGCTGCAGTCTTTTGAAAAGTAAACACCAGCTGTGTCTGACTGGAAGTCGCTTCCATCTTTGTTTTGCTGGCCTTTAAAAAAAAAAAAAAAAAAAAAAACACCACCGATGATGGCAAAGAAACTTTGAAGATGATCAGGTGCAGGTACGTTTGTTAACACTTTTTGTTGAAGGAATCGTCTCTCATGTTTTTCTTTTGCCAATTAAACGTCTCGAATTTCTGCCTATGGATTTTCGACGAGGTCCTCTTTTTCGATAAAATTACTATTCACTTTCTTCATTGGCATAAACACAGCTTAAAATTTGGGAGGACGAAGTCAACATCCAAGTCCTCAGGGTCTAAAGAAATCTTATAACTTTCTTTGCATTTTTTTTTTTTTTTTTGAGATTAAGAGACTTAGAGTAGCGAAATGAGTATTTTCTTGTGAAATTTTGGTCCTTATCGCTGACACCCTATTTTCAAAGGTCTAAAGGAGCAAAAGTCTTTTAAAAATTAGTATAGTCGAGCTTCCAGTAAGCAGACTGTTAATTGAAAGTCGATGTACATAAGCTTACGACACAGTTGTGTCATGTAAATGAAAGCTAATTGATTCACTTGTGAGTGTCGTCCTTTGATTTACACGGTACGACTGGTGTCGTAAGCTAAGGATCGCCACAAGAATGTTGCATACGGCAAAGTTTTTCCCTCAAGTGACCATTATAGGACCAGAAATAGTCTCTACTGAGTTGTTATGAAGAGTTAATTGAGAGGTATGACTAGAAAGTGTCATGCACCATATTCAGCAGCGGTTTCACCTACACAGGAGGCTAATGCTACTGGAACCGCTAGATTATACTGGGCTCCTAGCGAAGGGTGTTCTTTAAAGGAGATCCTGCTGTATTTTTTCTAAATCCAGTATCCCCTATATAAACGTCAAAAGTAGGGGACGTGATTACTTTACTTAAAACCAGTCTATAAACGTTTAAACAGCGTCGTGCTGTATACTAAAAAAGGACTGGACGTGAATGCCGGAATCCTAGCTTTGATTACTGAGATTTGCGATGACCCTACCCAAAATAAACCCTAACCCGAACCCTGGTATTTAATTGAGCCTTAGGATCCATGTGTCAGGACATATATTTCAACAGCCAAACAAGGCCAACCATTATATGTTATGGGAAAAAACCTAACAAATCTTGCTTTCACCACTTGGCTGAGTTTCTGTTGCACGACACTATACAAAACGGTACTTGCTTGGAAAACCTGAAGTTAAAAAAATCATTAATTAATGAATCGTTTACTTCAAAAAGGGAAGCAGTTGGCTGAAACATGGCCATAATAACCATCGTCTGACGATGATGAAATACAATGACACTGATCTGACCTAAGGTATAGTGAATGAAATCAAGAGAACATAAAGTAAGGTCTTTATCTCCCGTTGATGAAATTAGACTGAAATATGAATTACATATTTTATAACAAACCGTTTCTGCACACGTTAGTCATGAGTTTATTTTAGTTTACCCAGACGATTTATTGTCAAGAAGACAGATTTATTGACATTTCAATTATGCAAGTGGTATGTACATGAAATAAAAAAAATGTAAATTTAGTGGATTCATCCTGCAAATGTTTGTCTTAAAAACGGGGTGATTTTAACTTTACTCACCGTTAGCAACTATTTTTAGAAATCAAAGTGAATAAAAAATAACCATGAACAGCTAATCCTTTAGCCCTGAATTTCTTTAGCACTATAATGTGCTTAGAATGTAGAACAAAAAATACAATGTTAAATGGAAAAGTCCAGTACGTACTTTTCGATTTTCGACGGCATCAGCACACCATCATCAACATGATATTTAATAGATTACTTAAATGGTGTAGATTAATGTCGAAATATAGCTTTCTTTTCAAAAATCATATTTCGTTTTCTGCAGTAAAGGCACATCATGCTGCTCTCAAGCCTCTCGTAATAATAAAAAGGGTTGACATTTTAATTCAGTGTGACAAGAAGGTCGCTACAAAGGGGAAATAGCACGCTGATCATGAACCCTTTGGAACTCCCAGGGAACCCTCATGAAATCGCTTTTTTAATCCTCTCCTGAATGAAATGAAATAAAATAATAAGTTCATTTACTCCTATTGTAGCTAACCTAAATTACAGGACTGGACAGGATCGGTAACACCATAATAAGTACAATCAATAAATAGACGATCCTTAAATGGCATACTTGAATGCGACAAAGTTGTCAGTTCGTCAAATGAAGAGACCCTTTGTCACACCCCACTCAAGTGTGCACGCACAATAAATCGAGTTCGAGGCTAACCATTTTATTCATTTAATTTTTGTCACTTATTACGTTATTACATCATGAAAGGTATTACCTTTAAAAAGATGGGACAACATGCACCTACAATCAAACTGCTTCTCTTTGGTTTATTCACCTCCATAAACAATTATTCTGCTTATTCATAAAAGAGAAAGAAATACCTGAACGCTGCGAGGCTTTTAAGAAACAGTCCAGATAAGAGCGATAGCACTGAACGGCAACGAACATGATGGAATGCAAAAAAGGTGCTAACTTTTCTATTGTCTGTACTTACTTCTGATTGGCTTAAACAGCAAAAGTTAACAAAACTTCATAAATCAGTACATATATTTATCCTTACTTTCCAACCATATTCCATATAACAAAATCTGGTCTCAGTTTGAATAACAAAGAAATCCTATGTGGGGAACATGTAAAATTGTAAACTTTTCTTGGCTATTGTTTTCAACTCTTGTGATTGGTCAAAATCTTTTCATACACAAAAACACCCTTTCAAAGTGGAGTGTAAATGCATTTTATTGCGTAAACGGCCTTCATGTAGGTTTATGTATTCTCTGTGTAAAAATGAGAACATTCCTATGTGGGGAAAGCACCGTTGCCGCATAACAAAAGAAATTGCTATCCACCTTACCCGGATCATTACTTAAAGGCTAAATAAAGACAGAAACCTCAGGATCCAATCCGGCACCCTATAGCTTGGATTTGCAATGAATACAAGCTTCAAGTTGATACCCTTCTCACGTGAACGTGGGAATAAGGTCTATGAGCTCATGTATCCGATGCATCAGCCTCCTTCAGCGAAGGAACCCTCTCCAGATGGTTTTCTAGCCTACGTGTAACCTCAGAAAGGGAAACAGTGGGAAAGCTACGGCTCCCGCGTAGGCATGGGGAAGGTACGGGATACTAAGTTACAGTTTACCTTTTTTGCTTTGTTCTCCTCGTACGTGTTCCAGTTTACACCATCCACTGAAATTTGTAAGTAATACGTTTTGGCATGCTCCGAGTGTCTGCTTTGTGTGGCGACCGCACAAACATTACGCACTGCGCCTATATCAACTTGAAGATAGTCTGATTGGTCACTTTTAGTCGATGGACACCATCGGTACCACCCCTTCTTCATATTCACTCGTCCGTTGGATGCTCTTAACAATGTACGAGCCTCTGAGCTTGCCGTCATCCAAGCATTTGGAATCTTGTTTGGGTCCTCTACCCCTACAACTTTACAAGCTAAAAATAAAAATGCAGAACACTTTATGTCTCTCTAAATTATAAAAATTGCATAATATCTTAGCGGTCTTATGCGAAAACTAGAAATTGGCCAGCTTACCGATAAATCGCAAGAGGGCCGTTCTGTTCCATTTATATTTAAATAGAAAGTAAAGCATCCTTGTCTTGTCCAGAGTAGCATTCAACCATAGCCACACACAGTTGGACAGCTAGACATACGTAACATGTCTTTGCTATGACAATACGCAAATCGACACAAACCTTGAACTTTATGTTCCACAATCGAGATCATGGTGACCCCTTTTGTTCCCACGCTGTTTTTTTGCTACGCATTGGTAGAAACAGCTGTCCACTGAATGTAAGCTGGTGATAGTGAGATAGTGAGGTCAGCCTGCCTTTACTTCAGTTTTGCCAACAGGAAAAGGAATTATTACCATGACCCAGGCTACCTTGTGAGTTGGAAGCCCTTTTGCTTGGCAATTTTTTGCATTGTGGTGAATTCTATGTTTTAGTGGATTTGGTTTTGTGGTGTTGGTATTTCTGGCCACGAGAGTTCTTCACTTATTGCAGTTTCACATTCCTTCACACGGACCTATACAAAAATTTATCTAAAAAACCGGTATTGATCATGATACGCTCAAACATTGCTAAACCGCAGTCAGATCCGAAGATTTTATGAGATACCTTGGATGACTTAATTAAATATGAAGGTTACCTAAATAATAAATAGAGAGCATTTAAATATCTTCATGACTCAAACGGTGAGTACAAAGATGAAGCTGTTTAAGGGTTCATATTTTTAGTGTGGCTGCTGGTTTAAGGCATTTATGACCTTATTCGGCTATCGCCAAAGGCACAATTTACGTGAAACAGTTGGAAGAATGAAATATCATTGTTTCTTGTGACCAATTAGGAGACACTTTACCTGCAGCTCCTACCAATCAATGTGCCTCCAGCTCCCAATTACATTTTCACTTCTTTTTCTTTATCATATTTTGAGCATTGATCATTGACGTGTACTTACTAGCCAATGTGTTTTTTTAAGGAAGACAAAGTTAGATTTACAACACAAGCAATCCAGATAGATTTAGTTCCTAGTAGGTTAAGACAGCTTACCGTTGCAACAGGTTTTGCCATCTCCTGTGTAACCAGGTTTACAGGAACAAGTAAAAGAACCTACGGTATTCGTGCAAGTAGCTGACGCATGGCAATCATGGGTACCTGCTGTACATTCGTCTACGTCTGAAAGAATAAATAATAATAATAATAATAATAATAATAATAATAATAATAATAATAATAATAATAATAATAATTAAAAGTTTATAAAGCCGGGTGAGACACCTTACTCACACTCAGTACTAGTGCTCCTGACCATTCATCCTGCTTCAAAAGGCGAAGTACTAATAACTAGTTGAATTTATCAAATAACAATTTGTATGTGATTCAAGCGTTGTTTGAAGGTTTTCTTGATGTTTATGAGCTAGGAATGCATGAGTTTGAATCATCAGAATCGCTTGTAACTTACTTTTTGGACCTCTGTGGACAGTCAAACAAAAGACATGCGAAGCATTGAGTCCTTTAAAAGGACATTACAAAGTCGACATCTAAAGTAAATAGTTCTGTTGGCTATTTTGATGATTTTGTAAACAGTTTTGGTGCTTTTAGTTTTTAGTAGAAATTGATTTTGTTATTATTCATTGTACTCTATCTTTAGCTGTCTTCTCATCGGCTAAGAGCCTACAGCTATTTTGGAAATCAGCGTAACCTACAGGTTGGTTAGTTATCTGCTAGCAGATAACTGACTATAATCTGTATGCTGCGAGCGCAATGAGTGATTTCCAATAGCAATATCAATACAGGTTCAATCCTTGCGACCGTTTGTTTCCCGTTATTTTCTTCAAAACAATGTATAACAATGTTTAGACTCGGTTTTTGTGATATCCTAAATAATCAAGGTCTCAAGTGTTATCAGCCCCGGCCTTCCGCTCAGCTGATAACCCTTACCAGTCGACTTTGATTATTCCGGATATCACAAAAACCTCATCCAATAATGGTTTATTATCATCCTCATCATCACTTATTATTATGGCAGTTTTAAAGGTCTGGATGCCCAGTATTAGTAAAAAACACAGAAGTTGGGCGTCTGACCGTAAACAAGCCCTGCGCTGTGAAGCCTTAGTTTTAAAAAGTATTGAAATATTAAGAATATTATAGTCATAACTGGCTCTTGTAAAATATTAAAACGTTAAAATATATAAAAATGTTTCCGTTTGCCCTAAAATTTTGTCCATGAACCATTCTACTAGGCTTATTAACCAACCCCTCCGCCGTGAAGCCTATTATTATTATTATTATTATTATTATTATTATTATTATTGTTATTATCTATTTTTTAATTATTATTGTCGTTCAATTTTATCGGAGTTATAAGGTGGTTTGTATTAAATCAACTCAAGGAAGCCTGAATAATTATTAATAGTCCAAATGGAATTTTGGGCAAAAAGAATGAATCCGGTACCGGTGAGAACTGAAGGAAGAGAATTTGACGAAAACAAATTAAATAACAAAAACCAATAACGTTGCCCAAAAAGTTTGATGTATTAACTCAGGGACCCGTGCTACTTTACTTGGAAGTTATTCTGTGTTTTCAAGTGTTATATTTCTTCTTCTTCTTTAAATAAACAACGTTTGGTTTGTACGCTAGTGGACGGCCCTAAACGTCTGGTGTACTTGTTTTGAAATTCCGACCTGCTCGCCATTAACGTTCCAGTAGCTCAGTGGTTATAGAGAAGTGATTCTCGATTCTCACCAGGAGTTCGGAAATTTTTTCAGAGCTTTCAAGAGTTAGAATTCTTCTTCTTCTTTAATACAGAATGCAGTTTATTCAAATAGAATTAGCTGCAGGGGACGATAATAATGGAACAGGGAAATTTCAATTTAATACGATATGAATGATTATCGTGAATTAATTTTCACTAAGAAGGAAAGTATAAGAAGGGTCTCTTAATCAGTTTCCCTAAAGTATCAACATCAAAACACATGTATGCGCCTATTAACCTGCTTTATCAAATACAGTGATGATGATAATGATAATGATGTCCACATTCTGTTCAAAGTGAGACCGTACGAGTCTAAGTGCAAGTATGTATTTACCTACCAGAACAAGGACTTCCTCTATAACCCGGATTACAAGCACAGACGTCTGATCCTGCGGTTCCAAAACAGGCATCATTTGCATCTGCGTCACAGCGAAAATTAATGATGAGAAAATGTGGAAGAAGCAACGGGCACGAAATAACGTATTTCCTCGAATAGTAGCCGTCCCTCGACTAATCGCCCCTCTCCCACCCATATAGGTCATATAGGTTACCCGCTAGGGATACCCATAGCGCGGTAAACTTGAGGATGAAGCTGAAGTGGAGTCTGATCCAGCATAACTGATCAGTGACGATTCAAGATTTGACGCCGAGGACATTTACAGTGAAAATTAATCAAGAAGCCAAATTTGGAACACTTTAAATGCCAAAGTTCAGTTTATTTGACGTTATCTTTTTTTTATTACTATTTAATTAATGGGAAAAAGGAACATTCAAAATATTCAGGGCACGACTTCTTGTGAACAATATTTCAAATAATCTCCTCCCTCTAATTACCGCCCCCTTTTGGTGCGAGAAAAGAAATAATCGCCCTCGGCCATTATTCGAGGAAATGATAGAAGTTTGAACATATATATAAAAGTGCCATCGAATGACAAGTTATCTTTCATATGATGCTATGCATATGACAATTAAGGGAAACTCTTTCATTTACAGCAAGGAGGATAAATCTTCTTGCACGTAATCAAAACAAACACAGTCATTAAAGACTTATCATACAAGTATTTTTTCGAATATTCACCTAAAACACCACAGTAACGCTCATAACATCCTGTTGGCTTTTGCAGTTTATACACGTAGTAGCCGTCACATTGTGTTATGTCAACGGGGTAGGATCTCTGGCAGCAGTCTGAACTCCAGTGCATGCATACAGTTGTTGTCACCGTGGTGTAGAGACTAGTCGGATGATCACCATTTATCCATGAAGATCTATGGGTACTGCAACTTGATTTGGGAATGCAATACGACGCCATCATCCTTCCAGCTCCTCCAACAAAGCGATACCACTTATTGTTGACAAATTTAGGGTCATAATTATCGCAGATTAAAGAACCACTATTATTGCTCCAATATCGGCCAGGCTCATCAAGGTCAATGTAGGAGTTACATTCTGTTGGAACTATCGATCCTGATGGGATGTGAATAAATTAATCAGGCAGACAGCTACAATTTGTGACATTATTTAGAACTTGGGTCAATTGAGGGAATAACGCTGCAATGTTGCGCTCAAAGTCCTTTTCCCTCTCTCTCTCAATGTTGGCCTCGAAATTGGACAATTCCACCTTGATTCAATTCTGCCATCTTCCGTCTGTCATCATTTCTTTGAAAGGGCACTCGCTTTTAGACTGATTCATCGGGCTGGTCAAGCTGCAAGGGGGCTATATTTCATCGTGTTCAGCCTAAACTCCTACAACCTCCGCCACTCGATACACTCCATTTTAGAGCTAGCATTTATAGTGCGTAAATATCGCCTACAGAAGGGGGGGGGGGGGGTTTGGCTGCATTCGTCTAAGAAAAACAACATAAACTGAAAATCACGTTGAATTCTTAAAAGAACTATTAAGTCATGATCAATCCATTCTGAAAGGAGATTAAAACTCATTAAAAGGGGAAAAATGTTTTTTAGTTTCCATCTAGCTGCTCATTTTTTAGTTGTCTTCGTTAGAACTCATCACACTTTAATTTTTGCATCTCAATGACATAATCATCTGCTTATGGCAATTCCAAAAACTCACTCTTCACTTCCTTGCACGTGCAAGATGGGGCATTTAAAGGACGATCGATGCTGTCGAGTAATTTAAACATCACTTTTCAATAAATAACTGACTTCAAACGTTACATTTTTTTACCCGGCCACTTTAATGAAGTGTAGAAAACACAAGCGTCCCCATACCAGAAGCAAACACGGATTCAACGGATTGCCGCGATTTCATTATTAGCCGCCATCTTAAATGATGTCACACGTCTCTACGAAACTCCCATCTCTGATGGTACAGCAGTAAACTAACCTATTAGCTAAAGTATTTTCTCCTACCTTGGCAGTTTTTTCCATTGCCTGTAAATCCTGCCTTACAAGTGCAGGAATACGATCCACGAGTATTGGAGCAGTTAGCGTTGATGTCACATACAGAAGGGCAAGCACTGCATTCGTCTATGTCTAAGAAAAGCAACTCTAATTAAAAAATCACTAGTCCACTTTGAATTCTTAATAGAACTAAAAATGCATCAAGAAGGGAAAAATGTTTCATGGTTTCCATCTAGCTGCTCCTTTTTAGCTGTCTTTGTCAGAACTCAACACACTTTTTTTGCATCTCTCATTATCATCTGCAATGTCTGCAATCGGCAATCCGCCATAATCAACCCACAACCCTTCTGTGTCTGAACTCTGTGCCAGATGTTGTTAGATCAAGCCAGATTGCCGCGTTTGCTGATGACACAAAGGTTTTCAAAGAAATAACATCAACGCGCCATGCAGAAAAACTTCAGGAGGACCTAGAAGAATCTGACCACTTGACCAAGTCAGATAGCCTAAACTTTAACTACAGCAAATACAAAGCGCAGCGCATACTAGGAAACTTAAACCCGTCATCTTTGTCTATCATATGGCCGGCTCTCAGCTTGAAGTTGACTCTGCCGAGAAGGATCTTACATCACTGAGACCCTCCCGCAGAATAAGCAAGTCAATGTGCAATGCGCTTAAAGGCCAGCAGGCCCCCTGGGATATGTACGGAGAAACACCAGCCACCAGACTCGTCAAAAGCATTACGGTTAGACACGGCATACTTTACCCTAGTAAGATCCCACCTTGGCTATGCCACGCAAGTCTGGACTCCCCAGTCAATAGACCTGATTCGAAAGCTCGAGCGTGTCCAGAAGCGCGCTACAAAGTATACTGGATCTACCGTTCATTTGTGACCAAACATATTGAGGGACAGACTAATGTAACGTAACGTGTCTATCGGCCGTCTCCGTTGTTGTTTTTAATGATCATAAGAAGTTTTACTGTTTCTTACATATCTTTTTAGCTCTGGGACCACTGTAACTGGCTCACGGCTGTCGTGGCACCCCTGCCTATTAAGCATAATTTGCCAGTCTTGACTCTTTCGCATGATCCTACGCTAAGTCCCTTTCCTCGTAATAAAATTGACATTAGAGATTTAAAAGTTTAAACGAACACTATACTACCCGTTATCTTGCTCAGTATAATCACCGCCATACCGACCCTCTTATGTTCTTAGGGATTTTTGTGTACTTTTCTTTTTTCTCTCTTTTATATTTCATACTTCATATACTTATCTTTTTTTCTGTTTACCCTAAATAAAACTGTAATTTAATCATAAGGCATGTAATTAGTTTCACAATATCTTGCCCTTCTCCCGACCATTTATTCCTGTTATCCGTGATACATAACTGAAATCTTATGAATGGTATCTTCGAATCTGTAATAAAATATCAATGGCCTGTAATAAAAATAAATGGAGGAAATACTAAAATACAAACAATGTACAAAATGGCAATTCCAAAAACCCAGTCTTCACTAGCTTGCACGTGCAACGTCAAGGGATCCGATTTCAGTAGCCATCTTTGAATACGCTCATAGTTGCATCATGGGTAATCAGGGCAAGATGACGGGAAAGTCAAAGATTTGTATTGGAATTTAAAGCCAGCTTATTGTTCCTGAATTCATATATATTTACCACGTTCTCTTTGAAAAGTGTAACTTGTGAGCTGATCTGCATTGCATAATAGTCCAAGATCAGTTTTTAGAAAACCTCAATTTTTCCATACATTTTCTGTTACAGTAATTTTGGGCGCTTTCCATTTACGAAAAAAACCCGGAAATTTCGGTGGTAGCAAAAGTGGAATTTCCGATCGGTAAAAAGTTGTTCCATTTGGTCGTAAACCCCGGTACGTGGCCGGGTGCCCGACCGTGGACCTGGAACTGGTACAAACTACAAGAAAAGTCAATGGAACACGACATTCCGTTCGGAAATTCCAACCGGGAAAACGGGACCACCTTTTTAGATTTTCCACTTTTTCTGGGAATTTTCCAGTGGGACGAACCGACGAAACGTGTTCCATTTACCGCCGAACCGGAAATTCCGGAAATTTTGACTAAATGGAAAGCGCCCTTTGATTCCTTCGAAGTACAGAAAATGAAAGGAGAAATTTTCTAATAACTGATCACGGACTTCTTTGCAACCCAGATTTAGTGCTTTGAACTCCTAAATAAATTTATTATCTTCAAGGAGAAAGCATCAAATGTATGAATTAAGGAAGAATTAGCTGGCTTTGAATGCCAATGCAAATTTTTGAATTTCCTGCCCTCTTGCCCTGATTACCCATAATGCAACTACAGTCGTGAAGCCGTCTATTTAAACATCACTTTTCGTTAAATAATTGAGTTCAAACGTTGCATTTTAAGTGTAGAAAACACATCAAGCGTCCCGATACCAGAAACAAACACGGATTCGATGGATTACCGCGATCTTATTATTAGCCGTCATTTTAAATGATGTCACACGTCTCCAGGAAACTGCCATCTCTGATGGTACGGCAGTAAACTAACTTATAAGCTTAAGTATTTTCTCCTACCTTGGCAATTTTTTCCGTCACCTGTAAATCCTGTCTTACAGGTGCAGTAATAAGATCCACGAGTATTGGAGCAGTTGGCATTAACGTCACATACAGAAGGAGAAGCACTGCACTCGTCAGTGTCTAAGAAGAACAAAATTTATTTAAAAAAAAACACTTTCTTAATGGAAATATTCAGTCCTGTTGAAATTAGCTAAAGTATCTTATATTACCTTGGCAAGTTTTTCCATCGCCAGTGTATCCTGCCTTACAAGTGCAGTAATAAGATCCACGAGTATTGGAGCAGTTGGCGTTGATGTCACATACAGAATGGGAAACACTGCATTCGTCAATGTCTACACAAACAAACATTATTGAACGGCATTAACCCTTTCTATCTAACATGATTTTTTTGCTCAAAATTTTTTTTTTCATATTTTTTGTGTTTGTGTTTGCATGATTAGTTTACATCTCCCGCTAAAAATTAGTCAGCGATGAGGCATGATAAAATATCGAAAAACTTAACATCAAGCCTTTCACTCGCCGATTATCTATAACTCGTCTGACCAAACTCACCGTTGGTCTTCATATTGCAATAAGCCATTACAGATGTACCAGATTTTACAGTGGAAAACCAGTATTTCTTGCTAACAGCGTGTCCTTCACTCCTCTTTATTTCGTCACAAGTTTCAGCTGGCAGTTCTTGAATCGAACCAAGGGGAACTAAACGGTCAGAAACAGATCTATGTTAATTCATCAGTATGCTTTTTAACCCTGCATACTTTTTACGTAATGCCGAAGTGGGGAATGGGAGAGAGAGAAGAAGGAAGTGGCAAGAAGTAGAAGGAAAGGGGAAAATGTTAGTTGGAAAAATATTAAATATATAAACAAACAAAACAAAAAAAACCTGCAAAAGAAAAAGCAAAATAAGCTCTTTCAACAATCGCACCCAGCGCATCTTACTTTGGCACCAGGTGCTTCCATGTTGTCAATAAAATGTGACTAATAATATGTAAATAATGCTAAATTAAGTGATAACTATAATGATACAATTAGTAAACATAGAAATAAAACCTCAGGTTTTATAGAAAATGCTAATTTTGTAAACACGGCTGTCAAAATTCGGTTTCCATGGTAAAGTCATTGTTGACGTACACGCTACGCAAGGACTTAAAAAGTTAAGGACTCAAATTTGTTGCTTAAAAGCTTTTCGATCCCCTGGAACTTCCACCTTTGTTTTTATTGACATCTGAGCATCGGTCTTCAATTTACTCCAAAAGACAGATTTGAGCCTAAATCTTCAAGCGCAGTTTAGGCAAAATGTAACTTGGTCCCCATTATAGGGAGTTCCCCCCTTCCTGGTATGCTGGCTCACCTCGCTTTAAATCGCGTGGATAGTAAGATCTTTCCGGGTTTGGAATGAAGTCCTCCGGCCTGGCTTCTTTTGTCCTGTTGTTAAACTCGCAGGTGAGAAGAGAGATTACCCAGTTAAAACTTTGGCATCGATTGTCTTGGCGACACTTGAATACGCATGTAAAGGGAAGTTCCGCTAGAAGAGTGTCGTATACGTGTCCCCGTAACATCCAGCCAATGATGGAGCTCTCGGATCTTCCACTTGCAGGACATTTTTGAGTTACTGCGCTGTAGACCAGGAGAGCCACAACTGTGATACGGAAAACTATTCTTGCCGTCATGTCTGGAACTCCCACTGAAGAATAGAAAAGTATTTTGTTAAAACGCGCACTCATTTTTTTTTCGTGTCCTGTCACTTGCAGCCTTTTTTATGTTTTAAGCACGCCAGAGTTTTATGATCATAAACAAGCTGTATACAGCTGTATTGCAAGTCTTCCAAGATTATGAGTCAAAGGTTATAACCAAATCATTGGCTTATAACAGCCGAAACAGGGGCGTAGCTATCTGTACGCACGGTACGCACTTGCGTACCTGAAAAAGTCGAGGGTAAAAAAATAATAATAATAATGAGATATAAATTAAAGTGAATAATGAAAAAAAAAAAAAAAAAGGATAAAATAGATAAATCTTAATTATTTCAAAGGCACAGTTCGGCTCAATTCATTTCACAACGGACAGTTTGATTTTTCTTTTTACACCCTAATGTCGGTTTCGAGGAAAGAGACGTGATTCATTGGTCGACCGAATCTTCTATGGTATATATTTAGAGAAACAGCGGGAAAAGCGCAAATAGCAAAGCTGAATGGTTTCAAGCGTAAAAGCGTGTTGTTTTCACTTCGGCCTCTCTTCGCATTAGAATAAGTAGGGCAAGATCATGAATTACATCAACGTCAACGTAAATGACGGATAACTAATCATACATTTGCACATATAAAAGTCTGGAATACCACTGGATTGTTCGCGTAGGCACTACAGTTACGTTACAGGATTCATAAATATTTCGGATTCAAGATTCCGGACTAATTTTATTGAAGGTATTCGGATCATTTCCTAAGCGTTCATAGAGTCTTCATACAAAAAGATGCATTCGGATTCCGACTGGCGATGCCACGTGGGAATTGCTTTGGCCAATCAGAGTACTACCCACGTCTTCAGTATGGACTTTCTGCGCTTGTTTCTCAGGCGTCATTTCGCGGGGAAACCAGTGGAGTTTTCGCAAAACGTAGGCTGTTTTCTCAAGCTGCAAATTAAAAAGTCCTTCATTATAAAGCTTATTTGTGCCGTAGATAAACTTAATCCTTATATTTCCTTAGTGATTTAAAAAACCTTAAGAAACACAGATATCAGAGGAGAAGCCCAGTTTTCTATTTAGAACATCGAAAAAATAATTATATTCGCCCCGTCATTTGTTTGTACTTGGTATGCATGGTCGGCCTCGGTGGTGTTTACCACAGAGTGTGGCTGTTAGGCGTAATTTGGGCTGCCACAGTTGTACCTAATGGAGCGTTTTCACTTTACGTCACGGCGGCCATATTGGTGATCCCAAACAATGAAACAGCGGCCATGTTGGTGTACCAAGAAAATCCTTAGGGAGTTGAACTCTTTTCTTATGCAAGTACTTTCTTTATTTCCAGTAAAATAGCATAGATGCTGGCCACGTGAGTGAAAACGCTCTATTGGGAAAACAGCACACTGTGATTTTAACCAAACGATCTAGTGTGCCATGTATAGACCGATTGCACAATTTAAAGTTTGCCTGCAAGATATAACCGTGTAAATGAGCAAAATCTCACATTCCTTTTCTGTCTCTATAAAAACGCTCCTTTAGAATTCCGCTCTATACATAACACAGTACAGTCTACCAAGTTTACCTCTCCGCAGCGCCAGCTCCTGAAGTTTGTATCTGCACTGAACTCTTGGACACAAACTTTTGTCGGAAAAGTCAAATTATGAGGCTGATCCTGAAGGTGTCCCTAAAGTGCGAGTTCCAAGCAACATATGAAACTTGCAACTGGGTAATGACAACCACGCTTTAATTTTGTTTATAATTAGTGTAATGAGTTTTGTTTTCGATGATTTTTGATGCGAAAAGAAGAACATTCAAAGAATTTTGGTATTAAATTTGGTTGAAATTTCTTAAGAGTTGCTTATTTATTTTTAGTATTTTTTAACTGCAAGAAAATGAAATAAACTATATTTATTTATTTATTTATTTATTTATCCAACATTTTGTGAATCTATCGACATCAGTGGTTGTACTTCGCGCATGGCTTTAAATAAATGCATACGATTCTCTAGTTTAACGCAAAACATCGTTGCAATGTTGGAAAAACTTTGCAGCCATTTGAAACAATGTCAAAACAATATTAATTGCAACTCTGCGTTGCGCTATAACAGTGCTAAAAATTGTCGTCACGACTCATCTCGTTTAACACGGTACCGGATCGGTTGCGTGGGCTTTTCCTCCTTCACCTCTCAAAACTGAGAGTTTTAGGCCATAGATAGAAGTAGAATGATCGAATGTGACAAAACTTGGCAGGAAAGTAGGTTGATATTAAAATTACCGGTAAATTGGTTTTTATTTCATCCCATGTGACTGCTATTGTGACGTCATTAATGAAAAAAAAATTCAGAAAAGAAATAGTAAAGACTTTATATAAGTTTTCTGTATAGAATTCTATGATTTCTGGTCAAAACCTTATCTCAATTAATCAGACAAAAAGGCGTAAGGTTGCAGCTAATTTAAAAAAATTCAAATTTTCCTCCAAATGACCATATATGGTCAAAACTTTAGGGATATTTAAACGCGAAAACAATGAATGTAGTCGCAACAGAGAAAAGACAAAGTTGCATAAAATCAAAATTGTAGTTTTTTTTTAATTTATCTGGTGCTATGACGCGTATTTCGTCACAAATAACGTCATTATGAGGTTACATTTTCAATGTTGTTACTATAAATAATAGACGGCATACTTTCAAGAAACGTCAAAATGACCTTTACAATGGTAAAAATTTCAAGAAAAATTTTCTCTTATTAAGATGGTCTAATGTCTTACTTCAATTGGAAAACAAACTTCTCCTCTGTGAGCCAAAATTTGAATTTAAGAGGAAAGCCCCTAGCAACCGACCATCGCCGATTTAACATCACCTTGACATGAGATTAATAACCATACAGTTTCATTGCAGATGAGTTTTATGAGTTCAATCAGCCACGAAGTTAGCTATAGCGTGCAGGGTTTTGCCGGTCACGCGCAGAATTCCTTAGTAAACAATGCCCCTGCATTAAATTCGATTTTGAAGTCGCTCATCGGGTTTCCAAACTTTGCTACCGATACTGTCAAATGGCACATTTCATTATTAAACAGCACACGGATGCTTATTTGACTAACGACAAAATCACCCATTATAAATGGTTGCCGCTAGAGTATACGAAGACAAACCAAATAATCAATTATTTATGTCTATAAATCTTTAATTAGATAGTTCTAGCTGAGCTCATCATTTTGACAAACCCGAGTTTAATGCTCGATCCTCTAATTCCATTCAGGACATCTATCAAAATAACCAATAATAACACAGGAGTTTTTCAGTAGCTGGAATTGTAGCGCTCATTTTTAGAACTTTGCTGTATTATCTTTTTGCTCAGAAAACGGTGGCTCTTTTAAGGTGCAACTAAATTGTCACTCTTTTCTGGAAGTAATAAGAACTTTATAAGTCAAGAGGCTTATCGGCGAGAAAAAGTAGTTCATCAGGACGTTCACAGAGGCGCGTTTTGTTTTTTAATTCAACGTAAGACTACGCAGATGACTGAGCTCGTAAAAAAAAAACGGGATCATAAGGGCTTACGATAGAGGATGACAGTAGAATTAATTATTAAACTGGTAACGTTCTAAGCCTTCCGCTCACGTTCTTAGCTTAAGCCCTTTCGTCACGACTTCCTCTCTCACGATCGTCGTTTGTGAGAAAAGAAGATTTAACGAGGAGAGGGAGGCTAATAATGTTCCTTATAGTGGAAAATGAACTGCAGAAAAAAATTAAAAAAAACTTAGATCTGAATGCATATTCAATTCGATTAGTCTTGTGAATCCTTGACATGGATAGCCTGCTTAACTCTTTAAAGTAGTTGCCTTTTCCTTCTTTCAGAGTCTTCTTTATTTATAGCCTTTAAGCAAAAAGAAACTTGGCTTGCTGAGAGATGCTATAAACACACAAGGGAAAACTACCACGAAATATCCTTACGAACAGCTTAAAAAAAGATTGAAAAATCGACGGGGACAAAACGAATCCTCACCTGTTTCTGGGAGTCGTGGTGCGGTATTCAGTATCTAGGAACCCTTTTCCCCAGAGAAGTCGATGAGTTCAACGGAGAGTAAGACTTAATAAACCGTGTTGCGAAAGTGACAATTGGTATAACGAGCCCAATGTAAAATGTTGACATTTAGTTGAATACATTAGTTGTAGAGTATCAAGCTCATATAGCAAAGTATATTTATCATCGAAAATTGGCTCCCTCAACACTTTGGCCACCGGCAGTTTGCTCCTAGTCAATTAACTCAGCAGAAGGCAACCTAGCTAGTGTGTTGTTTGTTGTTGTTGTTGTATTTTCTATTTTTTTTTTTTTTTGTAAAACAACTTTCCTACTTGCATCAACAAACGACTGCACGCCGAAAATTAATGGTAGAGTGTGATGAAATTTTCAAAGGATGCTTGGTGCTATGTGATCAATAGCGATATCCTCTTACATATCCTAAATTTAAGAACATCTTCGCCTTTTAACAGAGACAGAATAGACCATGTTCCTTTGTTCTGTTACAGGGGAAAATCCTATTTTTAAGATAAGTAGGATAACAAGCTCATTGCTAAAATAGTTGTTTTTTTTAAGGATTGTGTATAGAAAAAAACAGGTGAGGCCATTATCAGTTACTTTGAGATTCGATGGCAGGTTTCCAAAAAGGACCTCAAGTTGCAAAACCTTTTAATGTAATATCCGTTTTCATTTTCTTTTTTTCTTCAGAAGAGACTGATTGTTGAATGCAAATTACATTTCTCTAGTGATATTTAAATTTTATAAAAACATTTGCGGAAGCACACGGATTGAGAGTTAAAGTCGCGAACTTATGCAAGACGTTTCCCTCTTTTTATGACAATTAAGTTTCTTTTGTTACGCACATATGCATCGTTTTGTTATCGATGATCTTATCTGCCCAAATTTGCTCTTAGCAGTCGAAATATGTTGCAAAAATGAAAACCTGAGGAGTTATCCAGGGCAAACCTAGAAAATGCCACATTTGCCAACTTATTTTCATCCCGTGTTTTTAAGTACTATATAATATAC